CATGCTTCCATGTGAATTTTAGCATTGTATTTTCTGGTTCTCTGAAGAATGCCATTGGTATTTTGATGGGGATTTTAGTTATATTTTTGAGAGTTTGGGACATGTAGTCAGTAGTAAAACCTTACTAAGTCTCTAGTCCCTCTAGTTGCTTGAGAATAATAGTAATTGCCTGCACCGACATTGGGTTTATAGTTCTAAATCTGAGCAGTAGATTATTAAAGTATAAAAAAAATCATAGCAAAGCACAATAAAAACCATTAAATAAGTCACTGGACGTTGGTGTTGGTAAAAAACACTTAAATCAAAAGAAAATCTTTAGAGGTTGAAGAGCAGACACAGTAGGGAAAGCTGGTATTGATGGTGGCAAATAATGTCTCTGCCTGCTGAGGAGGAATGACTTTTCAGGAATTCTTTCGTCAAAAATCTAGCTGTCTTTGTCTGTGTTAAAATGCCATGGTATTTCATTGCCCAGCAAGCAGAAGACAGGGAGAAGTTGGTAGAATATTATTAAATGTACTTAAACATGTGACAACATATTACTTAGCTTCCAATTACTAGCAGACTTCAGAGGGCAGGAAGGTTGCCAGCTCATTCATCTGATCATTACTTATCTTGACCAAAAGCCCATGAGAATATATACTGAAAGAATAAAGCTCTCATTATCATTTAATGTTTTTCTTTAAAACCTCATTTTAATACTATGAAATCAGATTTCAGAGAATGTCATAATTAAGATTTTCATTTAAAAAACCATTTAATACCATTTAAATATATAATGACTCCCAGTGCTACCTGAATTCATTCACATCATAAACCAGCTAAAATGGGCTTTAATCTTTACCATGACCATGCTTCCTTTACTTAACCTTAATATACAATGCTATCAAGACCAATTTATTAGCCACACAAAAGTAATTATCATTGCTTTATTATAACCTCACCTTATTAACCAGAAATGTTAATCTGGGCTCTGAATAATTGGCAACTATTTTTAAAAATTTATCCTGGAAATATGAGTATTTGTTAACTTAAGAATGTTTTAGGGCTGGGGATATGGCTCAAGCAGTAGTGCGCTCGCCTGGCATGCGTGCGGCCCGGATTCGATCCTCAGCACCACATACAAAGATGTTGTGTCTGCTGAACTCTATAATGTTTTAAAGACTGTGGTAGAGACTCCAGTGTCCATTCTACAAAAAAAGATGGGTTCCAGAAAATTCTAAGCATGGAAGCATTTTTTGAATAACTATATAGTCTTCTATGGTAATTACTCAGATTGTTACATATTCACTTTTAAGACATGTCAGAGTACTTAGTAATTACATGCTACATGGAATATTGACTAGAGTAACTCATTAGCAAATCAAGAATGAAAATTTTGTTTTGATAGAAAAATAGTTCTGTTGGGAAGGAGAATGACTTGGCACAAACCTTTGTGGTCTGTATGCAACTACTTTCAGGAATCCTCCCAAGGGACCTGCCCTTTCTGAGGCCCTTAGGATTGGTTTTGAGATCCTTTTTGGTAAATAAGAGAAATAGAAATTATAGTCATTGAGTTCAAACCATGTATCAGAATTTTCCTAAAGAATATGTTTCTCCTTACACCAACCCTGGAAAAGGATGTATTATCCTCATTTTTCAGATGAGGAAACTGAGTTTCAGAGGGTTAGGGTGGTTGTCAAACACCTAACCTAGGTGGTAGGAAGCTTAGATTTTTTAAAAAATTAATTTAACATTTTTTTTGTGTGTGGTGCCGGGGCTCAAACCCAAGCCTCAAGCGTGCTATGTAAGTGTTCTGCTGCTGAGCTGTATCCACAGGCCAGAATCTTAGATTTTAAATCACATCTGATTCCAGAGAGTTGTAACTCCTCACTCTAATCAGCCTTCTTAGTCAACTTGGCCATAATTAGTGCCACGTCCCTTTCTCACCATATAATGCTGTAGTAGGTAGAATAATGTACTCCCCCAGGGCCAGGGGTATGGCTCAGGTGTAGAGTGTTCACCTAGCACATTGGAGGCCCTGGGTTCGATCCTCAGCATCACATAAAAATAAGTAAAATAAAGTATTATGTCCCACTACAACTAAAAAATAAATATTTTTAAAAAATAATGTACTCTCTGCAGGAATGTCTGTATCCTAATCCTTGGAACCTATTACTATGTTACATTGGAGAGAGGGGTTAAGGTTGTAGATAGAATTAGGTAGCTAACCAGCTGAGCTTAACATAAAGAGGGTCCTTTAAGTGAGTAATGTATTGTGAGAGAATTGACTGACCCATACTACCATTAGAGATGGAAGGGGGCCACAAAACCAGATTCTCTCCTAGAGCCTCTAGGAAAGAACACAGGCCTGCCAACACTTTGAGATCTATTTGGGACTTCTGACCTACAGAACTGTAAAACTAATTTGTGGTGTTTTAAAAGTCACTAAGATGTGTAATCTATTACAGTATAAATAGGAAACTAATACAAAGCCCAACCTTACTTCTGCTGGGGAAGCTGTCAGGCCTGTCTCTGATACCACAGCTTGTGGTATCAACATAAACCCAAGTGTTAACAAAACGCACAGACCAAGATCCAGAGCTCCCAGTACTGCCAAAGATTAAAGAGACGCCTTGAAGGAAGTGTAACTGTTTAGTCACAGATGCATATGGACCCATGGACTGGGCTTCAGACCCTAATCTGTTGCTTACTACCTGTGTGATCTTCTGCATTCCACTTTATCTTTTGGAAGTTTGGGGTGTCATTTGTAAAACATGAACAATTCTTTCTGCTCTGCCTGTAAGGTAGTGTGAGGACAAAAGGAGTAGATTATTGAGAGTGAGCTGATGATTGCTACATATAGGTTCAGTTCTTGGTAGTGAATCTGATGGAATTAGTACTTAAAACTGTTATTACTTTTAATTATAATTTTTAGCAAAAGAATATGTGTGTGACTTTCAATGTTTTCCACTAAATCTGCAGTTAACAAGAAAATCCATTTAAACCAATTAACTGATTCACTAAAATGTCCATTAATGCTTTAATGTATTTCCTGTAATCATAGCTTATTAGAGCCAAAGAGGACCTTAATAATCACCTCATCCATTTTCCAGGCAAAGAAGCACATTCAGGTTGTTGAAAGGGTAAGAAGGTTAGACCTTTTGACATAGAATTCCTTGGCTAGACACAGTGTCACAATTTGTGATCCCAGCAACTCTGGAGGCTGAAGCAGGAGGATCACAAATTCAAAGCCAGCCTGGGCAACTTAATAAGACTCTGCCTCAAAAAAAAAAAAAAAAAAAGGTTAGGGTATAGCTCAATGGTAGGACCCTCCTGGGTTTAATGCCCTGTACTGTAACAAACAAGGGGGTGGGGGGAGCCAGACCTCTTTAATGAGTCCCACACAGTCCAGAATTTTTTTAAATGCATGTTTATGATTCTCTTTTGAGATTTCGAGGATACAGTTATTTGAAGCAGAAACATCCTAACCCAAATCAAACCCTTCTGTAGCCTCCAAAGAGAACAATTTATAGTTCCTTAAAGGTCCCTAGTCATTTCAAGTTTAGTTGTCATTATCATCCTGCTTTCCCGCACTCCCTCCTCCCTGCCGGAGTTAAACCTAAAGAATCAGCAGGCACCTTACAACACTAGGAACTGAGTTCAGGACACAGTCTGTATGCCAGTACCAGCCACCCACCTTGCCACTCTATATACCCCTCTCAAAAGAACAGGGTGAGCCAGGCGCAATGGTACACACCTGTAATCCCAGAGGCTAAGAGGCAGGAGGATTATGAATTCAAAGCCAGTCTCAGCGATTTATCGAGTCCCTAAGCATCTTAGCAAGACCCTGCCTCATAATATATACACACACACATATACATATATATGGTCTGGGGATGTGGCTTAGTGGTTAAGTGCCCCTAGCTTCAATTCCTGGTACCAAAAAATGTACACGATGGTGCCATCAGCAGGGCCAGTCATTTAAACCAGAGGAACTCTGTTGATACACATGAGGGATATCATCGTCACCAGTTATCAGTGACAGCTCTTTTTGAGCACCTGCCACAGCTAGAGAGGTAGATACAATCCTCAGAATCTACCTCTGCATTCTCAAATCCCACTCTTTAGCTGCTAGCTGGGTGCCAGCTCAGTTGCTTGGTTCTGCACTTCATGCTTTTGCAGATGAGCCAAGGAGGAGTCCTTAAAGCTAAAGAGCCTCAATATCTATAGAGGAAACTGGAGTCATCAGGTGACCTGCTACCACTACTATAGTCTAAGCGTAGACAGATTACTCTCTGGGATCCTGATCTGTCAAATGATGGACTGATAGGACCACAGTTTTCTCTAGCAAGGGGATTATATCCAACACTATCGTGGTGGAAGTTTTGTTTAACTACAGATGTTGAGGGAGAGGATTTGTTATTTGGAAAATGTAAACAATTTTTTTTTACTATAAAAGTAATTCATGCTTGATATTAAAAGTTACAGCAGTGCAGAAGCATGTAGAGCAGAGTAAAATCAGGCCCCTTACGTCCCATAGCCAGCACGAGGTCATGTTCAGGCTGCTTGTTTTCTCTTGTCCCCTGAACATGCCATTCAGCCTCCCATTAGCATTTTCCTGAGGGAATGTTTAAGAGTCTAAGAGTAAATCTGATCTTCATTTTAATGGTTCTGAAATTGGTGGAATTGAAAAGTTACATGAGGTTTTTTTTTTTTTTTTTTGCTTTTAGATGAGCTCTTACAGCCCAACTTATAAATCCACATGAAGAAGTTAAAAATTGCAATAAGTAAGATAAATAACTTGTACTGTTAAATTAGAGTAATACCAAATTTTGAAAAGACAAAAGAAATGACAGGACATTAAAGGATTGTTTTTTTTTTTTTACTGTTATTCATAGGTTGTGACATTATATTAATTATATAATGAGAAAAAAACAGTTTTACAAAAAGTATTCCTGAAAAAATATCTGTAAGAATAGTTCATTGGATTCAAACCAAACAGACAGCCTAATAACTGGAACTTTTAAAATCTTTATTGACTGAGCTTCAGAAAATGATTGCTACTTCCTTTTAGGCTTTTTTTTTTTTCTTTTCTGTTAGGACTTATACTCAGAGAATAAAAGACAAGAAGAATCATATTACCGATGACAGGAAAACTAACTTGTAAAAGTCTTAAACCAAGTGGATTCCATACCTCAAATATTTATTGAGCATCTATTATTTGCAAGGCACTGTAAGAGTAGAAGAATTGAGAACAACTTATCCCAAGGGCTCAGGGTCTGACAGGGTTGGTAAGACAAGAACCCACACAGCCATGTGCTAAATGAAGAGTTGTGACACAAAATGCTTAGCAGAATCCAAGAAGGTAAGAAAATGCCTCTCAATAAGGAGAGATCAAAGCAAATTTTGTGGAAAACGGGGATAATATTTATTTTTTGAGGTGCTGGGGATTGAAACCAGGACCTTGTACATGCTTGGTTAGGGCAGTATCGTGAAACTATACCCCCATTCTTGGGTAGGATTTTTCATTCTCAGATTGAAGGGGTTTAAGTGGAGGGAAGGTGGATTGAGGCACAGAGATGTCAAGATCAGGGCATGTCAGGAAGAGAGTTCAGTTTGGTTGGAGCATATAGTACATGTAGGGGAGGGGATAGATAAGACTGGCACAGGGTGGGGGAGGAGGAAGAGAATGTAAGGCCACAAAGTTTGCTATAATAAGCAAGTGATGTGTGATCTCAATTTTTTAGCAGGAAAATTGATGTAATCAACATTAACCTCGGGCAGACAATTTTTTGGCCATGGTGTTAGGTAGTAGGTGGTATGGGAAAACAAGGATGGTAAGATGAATCCCAGATGAATGACAAATGAGTTCTGAGTCATGACGACAGAAGGCAGGCAGGAGCAATATTTTACAGAAATAGACTTAGTAGAGCAAGTGCCTAGGAGTCAATGAGCTTGAAGTTCAAATCCTGTTCTGCTTTATAACAGTTATATGATTATGAAGACATTAAGTCCTCTGAGCCTGTCTCATCTACAAAATGGGTGTATGCATGGAGTTGCTGTGCTGCAGAATAATTCTTGTAAGGTATTTAGCCCAGCTGTGAAACCTGGTAAATGCTCAGTAAATGTTCATGTCACTAATTCCAGTTACTCAGTAACTAAAAATGGAGTTAGGAAGGAAATAGGTGTCTATCCCAGTGACTAAGAGGGATGTGGAGCTCTCTGGAAGGAGAATTGCATCCTGAAGGACTTATTGCATTTGGATCCGATCCCTACTCACTAGCTGTGATCTTGCACAAGCTACTTAACCCCTTTATCTCCCTTTTCTTATTTGTAAAATATAGTGTCAATGTCTCCCCCATGGAGCTGCTGTAAGAATAAAGTGAGATAATACATGTAGAATGTGTATTATGTGCTTGGTATACTTTAAGTGCCTAGAAAATATTAGCTTTTTGTGAAAGGATGCAGTTGAATAGTTTCCGCCTTCCATTTGTGATGGGAAGATTTGCAAATAGGGGCAAGTGACATATAATGGGACTGGGCATGAAGGGTTAGACCCAGTTGAGCCTAGAGATAGGAGTTGCTGGGACAGTTCATTGTAGCTCTATGAGATGAGCAAGGAGTATAGAATAGAAATCGTCCTGGAAAATAATCAGCCAAATACAGAATATAGGTAGAAGCTTCAAAAAGTGTGTCATGGGGGAAGAATCATCAGGAGGCTGTTCTAAACTATGAGATGTAAGTTATAACTAATAGTAATGCATGGACTTCGGACCTTGTTCTTTAAAAAAAAAAAGTGATTCTTCATACAATGGGGGCATCTTGTTTCAGGACTTTTATTAGAGGCCATAGAAAAGTTACTGTAATCGTGGCTTCATTCTTGGGCAATACATACTGAAATTCTTTTGGGTGGAATATTGTTTACACATGCATAGGGCACAGAGAAGGAAATGTCAATAAGGCAAAATATTAACAATTGTTCAATGTAGGTAGAGGGTACATATATATGGGGTATTGATTTTACTAACTTTGCCCTGATGGAGATTTTCAATATTAATGAGTACAAAGGAGGCCTGAGGAAAAACTATTTGGGAACCAGCTCAACCAGGAAAAGCAATTCTTTGGAGGAAAAGCAGGTTCCACCTACCAAAGAAGGGATTATAAAAGGGAGAGACGAATCAAAATAAGACTGAATACAAATCATATTGTAGTGGCTTGGAAAGAGTGGAATGTTGCATGGAACGCCGACCGGCAGTGAAGAAGTAATAAATGGGGAGGAAGTAGAAGCAGCAAGGATTACTTGACCCTGCTGGGCTGAATTTTTTCAGTACAGAAAAACTGAACATAGCTGAGGAAGATACTTAGGAAAGGGAAGAATGCTAGGAGAGCAAACACCTGTATGGAAAAGAAAGGGTGTGAAGACATGGCAGGAAGATGTAGCCTTAGATGGAAGGATGCTTTCTGTTTTGGCCCAGAAGTGAGGTCCATGAAGATGTGGGGAAGGAACTGCTCTTCCTAGTGATAAGATGTCTTGCTATTATGGTGGCAGGAAGGGGAAAAGTACAATACCTGCCACTGGATTTGAATACAGCAAGGTGAAACAGGTTGCACCTGGCACTGGTTGAACAAGTGGAGGCAGGGAATAAAACTGGGCGGTCAGCCCTGATAAGTTCTAGAGATAATAAATATAGAGAACTCTAAAGAGCATTTTTTTTTCTCCCACAACTTGGTACTGGGCAAACCTTATGCATTTGATGAGTAAAACTGTCTGTCCTCTGGGTAAAAGCTTTTATCCTCATTTCCGTGCCCTCTCCTTGGGCTGGTATGGTATATAGGCACATAGTATAATAAGTCCTTAGTGTATAAAAAAGCTTCTGTCCTTTTAGTCACCAGTCCTAAGTGGCCCTGCACTGGAGTGACTAGGGCTGTTTTCCTCTGCTATGCAACTCCATTCCTGTGCCCGACAAAGCCTGACAGCACAGGAAGCCAAAGGGGCTCTTTCCCAGGTACCTGGAGAATAAATGGTTTTGGTTCTACTCTGGTATCAGAATCGCGTGGAAGGCCCACATTTGGTGGCAGCGACACTTCATTCTGTGCCCAGGAGATGTCGAGAGCACTGGTCCGAGTCCCACTTGCAGGAGCGCTGCCACGCGCTGGTGGAAGTAACCAAGGTCCTCTACAGCAGGACCTTCGTGACAACGCACCCATCGTCCCTTCCCTCCTCGGCCTCCTCTTTGAAAGGCAGGGGCCACGCAGCGGCCCAGTGCTGGGAGCCCTCGCAGTGCCTCACCTCCGCCAGCTCCCCCAGCCGCGCCTCCAGAGCTGCTCGCTCAGCCTGCAACTCAAGGCGCGCTCGGACCGCGGCGCGTTCCTGCTCCTGAAGCTCCCTGCGCCTGCACTCCAGGGCGCGCTCACCCAGCTCCACCGCTGCCTCGCGCCGCTCTAGCTCCTGCTCCCGTCTGCTGCAGCGCACTGCCAGCGCACACATCTGCTCTAACAAGTTTGCCCAGTCACCTTCTGCGGCCGGGTTGGAGGGCGGCAGCAGACAGGGTGGAGTAGGCGGTGAGCACCCGGCGCCGCTCTTCTCCAGCTCCCGGCGGTGCGCGCTCTTCAGATGCTTCCACAGTGTGGAGGTTCCCGCCTGGAAGCCAGGGCCACGTCCCACCCGTTCTCCGCAGAGCCGGCAGGTTGCCCAATGGCCTGACGGGTGCCCTGTACGTGCCGGGGCCAAATGAAAGTATCCCCAGGCCTCGGAGTATGGCGCTCCCAGCAGGCCGGGAGGCGCCACGGGCAGACCCGCACACCCGCCACAGGGTGCTTCCGCGTCGTCTTGCTTACTGCTTTCTCCCATGGTCACAGCCAGCTCCTCACTCCATTCCTTCTGCAGCGTCTGCATCCAGAGGGGGAAGAAAGGGAATCATCATCATCTACACACAAAACTATGATTGTAGTTAGCCTCCCTTTCATGTGCAAAGGCAATAGTTGTCTGGGTTTCTTTCTCCTTAACAGTGTTAAGTGCTGGTGCATCACAAAAACATGTTACAATTGTCCAGCCTTAGGAATTCTCTTTGGAATCCAATGGGTCCCCATGTCCCATGTATTTATACTAATTGTGAGAAACTAAGGTTCTTGAGCTGAAAAAAACTAGCTTAAATAAGTGTTGTAGTTTTAAGACTATTTAACCCACACACTATTTTTCTTTTCAGAAAAAGGGTGAGGTTCTTTTATGGATCATTCTCAACAGTGTTGCAGACTAAACTTTAGAAACAAGCAGAAAATAAATTTTGGGAAATGAAAATTTTGTTTTTAAACTTAAGCTGTGGAAGTGCCAGTGGTGAACAACCTTTCTTTTTCCTTCTGGGTATTGGGGGTTGAAAGTGGTGCTCTATCACTGAGCTACATCCCCAGCTCTTATTTTTTTGAGACAAGGTCTCACTGAATTGCCCAAACTGGCCTGGAACTTGCAATCTGACCTCAGCCTCTGGAATTGCTGGGATTACAGGAATGCCCAGCCCAAACTAGTTATTTTCATTTCTCAACCTAACTAAATGGTCCCTCTGTATATTTGCAAGTTCTGAAGCTTTGCACAATACTTGTACCTAAGGAAGAAAAAGAAAACAGTGTGTTGTTTTGTCTTACTAATTATCTGTGTTAAAGGGGTTCAAATGTAAGGTGATAACTATCACTGCAGTGTTTTATATTATTGAAACCAACTCACTATTACAATAACATATCCAAAAAAGGGTGGAGGAAAGGTGAAGTTTTTTGTTTAGGAATAAGTTGATGAAGACCCAAATGTATGATTCTGGATAATCTTACTTTGAATATTTAAAAACAATAAGAGAACATATGACATATCCCTTAAGCTCTTCTGACATCCTAATGTCAAGGTTAAGGTGGAAGAAGCTGGATCAGTGAACTGTCCAGTGCCTGTAAATACTGTCAGGTTCTAAATCAGCAGCAGTGGAGATGATAAAAGTTCCAGGATCTCTCTAGTTAAACACAACTGGGAATGTCTGAAGACAAAGATGAGAACAGGAAAGATAAGCCACTATAATAATAGCAGTTAGTATAAGCTTTTAATTCAATTGCTAATAATCTTGTTAAAATGCATTAAAATTTTTTAAACCTAATTTGTTCTTTTACTCACCAAGCAAGTCCACTCATGCCATTTAGCAGCTCTCTCACATTGAAAAAAGATAGTCTATCAGAATCATCATAAAAGACAAATATTTGATCTCTTCTAGCATAAAAAATGGCTATGCATCTTCTGATACACATGATTTAATTTAAATGTGGTTATTCATGATAAGTAAAAGTTCTTTAGAAATAAAATCCTACATTTCCCTCAAGGGATTTATTAAATTGCTGAAGTCCTGAAGGTAGGAGTAGGTGGGATGAGAGGTTAAGATACTTTCAAGAAAGGTAACAATTATGGTTGGTAAACAGAACAAGATTTTAGAATTAGAAACATTTTTCTTAATCCTCAAATTTTCTGTGCTTTTTTCCTTTTTAGAATTCCATTTCCTTTTACATTGTGTATAATCTTTCCGTAGTTCTTTATTTTTTTTAATTAATGGGTATATACAAAAAGTGGAGGTAGTGTTGCAATGAATTTCTGTGATTTATTTCATAAGTTTTAAAAAAATTAAACTTTTTCAGTAACATCAAGACTACTGTTTTGCATTTTGATATGCTTTCTTGAGGTAGGTGCTGGAAACTGTATGCAACCTGCAGATTCTCTGTGCCAAAGCCTGAGAGTCATCTTTGCTGATATTTCCCCTAAGAGTGCCAGAGGTGACCCATTTCTATCATGCTTTTCACCTCTGTGCAAGTTGTCTCTTGGTTTCTTGAAAATTCTGGGATATCCAGAGGAGTGTCACCTGTGTGAATACTATCTATTATAAGAGTTAAGATGGGCAGAAAGTGAGAAGCACTGATTTTACTGTCATGACCTTGTGGATTTAGTGGAAAGCCTCATCTGAGCCACGGACAAGCAGTACCACAAATGTCGGCCAGCACAGTGCTGCCCCTCCGAAGTTGGCAGAGGGACATCCTCTGCCTGGGCAACCCTTCGCTGTTGGAGGTCTTAACCAGTAGAAAGCAGTATGGTATGAGACTGCCTCACCTTCTCAGTCCTCCACACTGGGCTGCATTCTGGCTCAATATATTCTTTTCAGACTCAGTATCCAAAGAATGACCCACAGTTGACGATCACAGTCATACAGCCTGCCCAGCTCTACAAGACATCCTTGAAGTCATCTCAACTGATCCTATTTTCAGCCATCTAACTTGGAAGAGAGTGTCTGGGAAACTCCTGAGTCATAATAGAGCATGCAGAAAGCTCTCACAAACGGACATGAACAAAACATGCCACCAAATAGAAAAATGGGCAAGAAATAATAGCAGGCAGATGATCAAAGAATGAACTCAAATGGCCGGGAAACTTGTAAAAACACACATCTCATATTCAGAGAGATTGTATAAGAATAACAGTAAGATCATTTTGTATCCATCATTCTAACAAAAGTGAAGAGGTTTACCAGCCAATGCTAGAAGGGAAGCTGAGAAAAGAACATACTCACACATTATTAGTGAAGATATGACAGCTTTGGGGAATGCAATCTGATAATTTCCATATTAATTAAAAATAGATATAATATCTATTCTGTAAAACTAAAAGCACCAATATACAAAGTCATATGTGGTAGGGTGTTTATTGAAACCTTATTAAGAACAGCAAAAAAGAAACATGGAAATGCTTAACATCACAGTGGCTGGGCTCATACTATCTGGTCATACCAGGGAATATTATGTACCCATTTAAAAGGAGGGAAGCTCCGCCAGATGTCCTAGAGGAATTTCTGGAGGAACTGTTCAGACAGAAAAGCAAAATGTAGAAAAGTGTGTATAAAATGACCTCATTAAATAATACATCTGTATAGAAATTATCAACATACAAATGCTCTTCAACTTGAGATGGGGTAACATCCCAATGAATATAAGTTGAAAATATTGTAAGCAGAAAGTGCATTTAATATACTTAGCTCATTCAACATCCTAGTTTAGCAGTGCAGTACACTGTAGAGTATCAGTTGTTACCCTTTGTGATCATATGGCTGACTGGGAGCTGCAGCTATTGCTGCTGCCCACATCACGTGAGTATTGTACTGCACATTGCTATCCCAGAAAAAGGTCAAGTTCAAAGTATGGTTTGTACAGAATGCACATAACTTTTTTTTTTTAATTTTCCAACAAGTTTTATTTTAATGTCTTTTTAAATTTTTTTTTAATTGGTTGTTCAAAAGCACATAACTTTCACATCATTGTAAAGTCGAAAAAATCCTAAGTTGAATCATTGAAAGTTGGGGCCCATCTGTATAAATATATATGAAGAAAAACAAGGAAGGAGAACCTGATTTGATGTAGTGGTAGCTGATATGAAAGGAGGGAAAAGAGGAAGAGGGAGACACAAAAGCAAAAGAAAAAAAGGTACTTATGCATATGATCATATGCATACTTTTAGGCAGAGTGTGTGTGTGTGTGTGTGTGTGTGTGTGTGTGTGTGTGTGTATGGCAGGATCTATATATAAATAAAAAGTAACTATAAAACAATGCTTGGCTCCTCAGGCATATGAGCTCAGGCAAGGTGTTTTAGTTAGCTGTTTTGCCACTGTGACAAAAAAGCCTCAACAAAAACAATTTTAGAGAGGGAAAAATTTACTTGGGGCTTGTGGCTTCAGAGGTCTCAGTCCTCAGATGGCTGGCTCCATTGCTCTGGGCCCAAGATGTGGCAGAAAATTATGGTGGAAGAGTCTGGTAGAGGAATGTGGCTCAGGACATAACTAACAGGAAGCAGAGAGGGACTCTACTCACCAGATACAAAATATATACCCCAAAGGCACACCCCAGTGATCCACCTCCTCCACATACTACCAGCCTAGAATTACCACCCAGTTAATCCCCATCAGTGGATTAATGCACTGATTAAGTTAAGGCTCTCATGACCCAATCATTTCACTTCTAAATGTTCTAGTATTTCTCACACCTGAGCTTTTGGGGGACACCTCATAATGTAAACCATAGGTAGGCCACCCTTACCTCTGGAAGCTGGAGGGGACTTCCCAGTCTCATTGGGAAGCCCATTGCTGGCTTCTTGGAAGACCTACATGCATAGAATGCTGCCATCTATCCTGGAGGAAACTCAGTGTGTGGAGATGCTTAGTGTCAGTGCCCTGCCTAAGCAGGAGATTCTATATCCACAGGAGGTATAGGACACAAGGAGAGAGCAGCACACCTCATTCATTGCCTTGGCTGTTTTCAATGAAATTAACCTGGCCCTATGTAGCACAGCTAATTGAGTCTCAATCTCCCCACGTATCAAGGAAACTGAAAAGATTATCTGCCATTAAACAAGTGGCTAGGTCTTGCATCACAGGTCAGTGGTAGAGCGCTTGCCTCACATGGTTCGATTCTCAGCACTGCATATAAATAAATGAATAAAAAGGTCCATCAACAACAAAAAATTTAAAAAACAAGTGACTTAAATCAGATAATGCAAATGATCTCACTACTAGACTCCTCAGTGCTATATAAATTTAAGGCATGAACAACAAAGCTACCAGTATTTACTGTTTAGACATACCCACATTGCAATTTTAGTGGCTAAAATCTGTTTTTCTGTTGGACATTCTGTCTAAACTGGAGGATTTCCCTCAGAACTTTCTTAATACAAAAAGCAAATAAAAAAGAATAACAAATCCAAGGCCTTCATTCTCCACATTTATTTTTACTTCTAAACTGACTTTCATGTAAAATAAGTTGCCCATCACTTAGGCCAAAGGAGATAATGGGAAGGGTTTAGTTAGCTGAAGCCTGTGATATGTACTTGTCCCTTTCCAAGTTCTCAATAACAAAACATGGGCATTTTCTGTGTGATTAGCTAATAATGGAAAATTTGAGCTCCCTTAATATTTCCTTAAACATTTTTTTTTTAGTGAGAGAGAGAGAATTTTTTATCTTAAACAGAGAGAGAGAGAGAGAGAAAGAGAGAGAGAGAGAATTTTAATATTTATTTATTAGTTCTCGGCGGACACAACATCTTTATTTGTATGTGGTGCTGAGGATCGAACCCTGGCGGGACGCATGCCAGGCAAGCGCGCTACCGCTTGAGCCACATCCCCAGCCCTCCTTAAACATTTTTTAAAACAACTATGAAGGTGCCAACAAATGTTATTACTTTGCTTACATTCATTCATTGATTCATTCCACCCAGCTCTTTCAAATGCTCACTGTGCACCTGCCCAGGGTCAAATGCGTGTGCCTGCCGCTGAGCATTTCAATAACACCATGTATTCTCTGCCTTCAGGAAGCTCACCACCTGGTGGGGAAAAAAATGTTTTCAACAATAATTCTGATATCCTGATAAAGATCAGATCAGTATTCACTCATCAGGATGAATTCCATCATACCATGTTCACAAAGCAGAAGGGGAAAGCAAGGGGCAGCTCCTTGGCACCAAGGCCTTGTTGTCTTATACTAACCTTAATAGTGCTCAGCATCTCTTCTCTGCCCTTCCCCAGTGGGTATAAAATTGATTGTGTTATCTACCACCAAAGCCCAGTACCAACAAAACCCATTACTGTTATTACCATTAGTGATTAATGCCAATAAAATTTCAATGCTTTAGTGTATAACTAAAGAATAAAATATCTTGAAGCTACATAAAAGTACTGCCAGCATGAAACAAATTCAACAATGGAAATTTTTGTGGTCTTCAATGGGGGGAATCCTCATGATACAAATGTATATTTTAGATATTTTCTGGAAAGGGAGAGGGTGTTATTATTGGTACCATGCCTCTAAAACACTCCTATGCTGAATTTTATTTTGAGCATCCATCGTCTGGAAGATATGATGTCTAAGACTGTGAAAACAAAAAATTCACACTAATATCTCTGCATTTGAGTCTGATCCTGAAGAAGTTCTAATAATCTATCAGGTTAAAGCTTGAGAGCCTCAGTATGATCTCCCTGAATACCAATGTAGAGAGTGAAAAAAGAGCTCAATTTTGTAAATATTATATAAATATTATTATAAATCAAACAGATATTTCTGTCATTAGCTAAAAGGCAGAGACTTTCAAGGTCTTTGTTTTTTAGTTCTGGTGATTGAACCCAGGGTCTTCTATCACTAAACTACACATACCCCCATCCCTTATTAATGCATTTTAAAAAATATAAATTGTAAAGCATTCTTTTCTTAAGAAGACATTTATCTCAGACCCACATTGCTTTAATATGTGTAGTCATCCTATGAACTCCCTATGAAAGCTAATTTTATTTTATATATTTATGCTTAAACCCATAAAAAATATTAAGCATGCTAAAGACCAAAGAACCAAATAATGTTCTCAAAAGAACAACTGAATTATAGCTCCATTTGTCCTTCTGCAGTCATGGCTAATCACTTTAGTTGGATTAGTCAGGGAGAAACACAAATATACTTGTTGGTTGAGCTCTGGATTAGGTGAGAAGTCCACACTAATGTGAAATTTATACAGACTGTGTGAAAACACTAAGAAAGATTTTCATTTATTCCATCCACCAGTGACAAACCAAAGTAGAATACAATAAGTAAAAGAAATAATTAGCTTTGGCCACTGAAATGTCAGGAAATCACAGTTCATTGTTATCTGTTCATCTCTGTTGACCTATTAGGTTGCTGCCATGTATTCATGTATCTATAAACAAATCCAGACAATTAGAAAAATTAGTTTGCAATTATAAGGCTTACAGCTTTCAAAAGCAAGTAAAAATAACTCTAAACTGTAAAATGTGAATACCTAGGTTGGGGAATAAAGAGTTAAGTGTAAAAACATTTAGAAAAAGGTTATTTGTGGATTGAAAAAATTTACTGGACCCACAGCTAATTATCTGGTGAATCAGAGATGTGCCCTAAATGTCATAAGCCAAATTCTTAGATCTTTCTACCATTAGCTAAAAGGCAATGGAGCACTCTCTCTCTCTATTAATGCATTTTTAAAAATGAAAATTGTAAAACATTCTGCTATAAAGTGGACCTTTATTTCAGATCTGCATTACTTTATTTCATACATAAAGTTCTAAAAGGAAAGGTGGCCATTCATTTTATCTTGTAGAAATGAATAATTTAATATGAATTAGAGGGATTTAAAGGTGCCCTACTTCGAAGGCCTTTGTAACTCAAAAAAAGATTTTTAAATTGAGAACCAGTTTGGGCTCTTAGCATTTTTACATATTGTATGCTTTCTGTTGCCAGTTGCCTTGAACTACTTTTTGGCCAGAAAAACTACTAATATGAATAAAATATATAGCAAATAATGGCTCTAATTATGTCAACTTATCAAGCAATTCTGCAACAGCTGCTCTTAAACACCTTAACTTTGTAATTTGGGCTATTTGGAAGTCCAATTGGTTGCAAATACTTTTTTTTTTTTCTTTTCTTTGTAGGAGTGGAGAAAACACTGGTTGGTAAAGCTTTACACTTTTGGCTACTGTATTTACAGTATTTACAGCAAAGTATTTGCAGCTAACTGCTCTGGTATACTCCGAAAAGATCAGGAAATCCTTTTGTTTGAAGACCACAGCAGAAGGAGTGGGGGTGGGGACTCTAGTTTGAGCATCTGGCTGGCATTGGGGTTCTCTCCCCACAGGTGGGACACATTAACAAAAGTCCCAAAGGGCCCACTGCAGAGCGCCCAGCCCTTAGCGCTGTTAACAGTCTCACTGCAATAAAAGCAAAACTTTATAAAGAGACAGTAGGAAAGTGGTGATGGTTTTCGACATTTCGAAAAAGTTTGTTGAAGAGAGTCTGTAAGAAGGTGAAAAAAGGAGGTGATGGAAAGCAAGCAAGCAGGGCCTCTACGTAGAACCCCGCATCCAATGCATCTTCTGCAATAACGACAATAGCGCAGGGCACGCCCAGCACCCCTGCACAGCGCAGCCTGTTGATGCGCGGGCTGGGCGTCTGCGGCCAACCGGCTTACCGTGGTCCCCGCGATCCCTGGCGGGTGGCCGCGACGTTCGGGTTCACGTCGCAGCAACCCCGCTCGGCCCCCCGACCTTCCCGCTGCGGCCTGCCACGCCCCGGCCACTGGCCCCGGCGCGGCTCGGGGATACCAGGCCCACACTCACCGTGAGGCCCGCGACACGGGCGGGAGTCCCCTACGGGCGGGAGTTCCCTGCGGGTCGCGAGTCCTGATCGCCCATCCCCTACAGGCTCCTCGCAGACATTTTGTCCCGAACGGAAACCTCCGCTTCCCCCTTAAAGACACAGCGCTCAATTCAAGTGTGTGGGAGTGAGAAGGAGGACGGAGACTAGCGGTGGCCTTTAAGAGGACGCGGTGGGGGAGTTACTCTTAAAATCGTCCAGGCCCAAGAAGGATAGACGCGTTTGCCAAGGTTTTTAAGTGATGCAGCAGCTTAGTGAAGTTTAAAATGTGACTACTATTTTATGTTTTTGCGTTAACCTTCCAAGACCTGGATTCCCTGTCTTGAGCTCTGAGCGCAGTTTTCATCCTTTCAGGTTCAGGGCTGTGAAGTCACAAGTTGTTAGAAGAAATCCCCTCCAAGCAAGGTCTGGACAGATAAAGGCAGAGCTCTTTGGCGTCCACCACCAGCATGGTGTACCAGTTTGCCTAGTTTATACCCAGGTACAAACAGCCCCTACAACTCAGTGATTTATAATAATAAAGCTCTATTTCTGAAGAAAATTACATCAGTTACATTGCAGGCTTGGCTCTACTCTACCAATTTATTCCAGGATCCAGGTCAAAGATTAACTTTTTGAAACATGCTCACTGGAGTGCTGGTAAACCAACTTTGGGGCAGAGGGGAAAGTCCTGATTTGTAATGTTTGCTATTTCAATGGTGTAAATACTCCCACCATGACCAATTTCAATCTGCCA